TTTACGACTCTCGTTGATGCGTTTCCTAGTGATCGCGTCTCCTCGCGACTGGTTGAGAATACACTAAGGATATCTACCTTCACTAAAAAAAACTTCCTCGTTCAACATATCGCTCTGAAGCAGTCAAACATTATTTACATAATTTTTAATCTAACTTTCCTGTCACTCGACAAGATAATTTGCGCGCTATGCAAATAAAAACGTTGCCCCATCGCCAAGTACTCTTATCAAGCCTTATCAAAGCAGCGTAGATAAAGTGAAGATTCCTCACCCCACCCGCCATGAAACTTTCGCTGAAATTCAATTCCGAATTACCGGTCAAATTAATTATTCGAACGGACAGGGAATCGCTGGATGAACGTATTTCTCGTCAAAGATCGATTAAATCCACCCACCTCTGCCCCGCACCTCCTCGCATCGCTGAATATTCCCTCTTCATAAATATGCTAATGTTACACAAACACAAATGCAATCTGACCGCATTCGTCGTCTAGCAATCGTTTTAATCTCTTGTTAGTTTGAGGAAGCAATCGTGCTCACTTCCTGTCTCTATCCATTTCGATCCTTTCCCAATCTCAGCCCCTCCTTTCGATTATTTAGCTTGGTCTGTCTGTAATTGAGCGTACAACGAATCTGTCTCACCGGGAATTTCGCATAAATCATACTCATCCCACTGGCAGAATTTGCATAAATCGATATCGATTGTTATTTTATGCGGGGCCATTTTTTATGCGGCTTACACCAGCCAAGACCGCGGAAGCCAGGCTGCATTAAACAATGTTGTTGGAGTATAGTGCGGATGCTTTTTGAGACTGATTTAGCGATTTGGCATAATTTTGTTGCAGCTACTACAGCAGATACGTGTCCCTCGGTTTACTAGAAGATAGAGACACGGTTTAAAAATTTGTACGTTATTCTACAACGTGTACATTGTGTACCCAATTTTTAACGAATCGGTGTAAACGAAAATAACAAAAATTATATGCTTTTATCGTACGAAGAGATATTACAAACTATAGATTTCGGGAAACGAATGTTTTTTAATCAGTATATCCACTTACAAGCAGATCGTTCTCATCTAATGAAAATCTTTAACGCCCTGTTTACAATTTTGTATACTTTTTATTTTCGAAATTACGTAGTTTACTCGTTCGAACTATCTTTTAACTTCTACGTTAGCGTAATCGGTGCCGACAAAAACTGCTGCGGGCAACTTGATCGAAACACGAATTTACAGGTCGTGTGCGGTTGTCTGGCCACAAATGACTCACTCCACTAGTCTCTGCTAACTCTCCTGTTCGCTATACAAAATTCGTAACACTCCTCCCGTATTTACGTTTCATCAAAGCTGTTAGGCCGTATTATGACGAATAATAGATGGGAGTAGATTACTGAATTGCCCCTTACTCAAAGATTAACTCCTGATTCCTCCATAAAATGATTTTCCTAAAGGAATAAGCTAATTCGTATCTTTTAAGATAATTAATTCTCTTAAAAAATTAATTCTCTTGTTGTCCTCATTAAATTAAAAGAGTGACGATGTGCGTTACTCCTTTCAAAAGTAGTTAAATACAAAATATACAATATTTTCTTTAAAGAAATAGGAAATAATTATATCCTTTTGAGGTAAATAAATTCATCTGTAAAAAGGTTCAGCTCTATTTAACTTTGCGCTAGATTTCCATATTACGATAAAGTCTACATCCATAAAAAATTTAATTATAATCTAATATCTAATATAATTTAATATAATCTAATATAATTTAATTATAATCTAATATGCATAATTTTAAAACATTTGTTTAAAGATGAACTTTATAAATAGCTTTATAATCTATAAATAACTTTATAATCTAGCAACTTTATAATAAAAGAAAATAACATAGTGTCTCTCTTTATTTTCATTTCTGAAATATGCGTCTATAGTTTGTCAACAAAAGTCAAGAATACATACCTCGTACTGTTTCGTTTAATATCGAATTTTTTAATTTACCTCCACAAACTTAAATTTACGTTAGACGTAACTTAATAAAAAGAAATACATCTTCGAATTTAGCTACGTGTTAAATTTACTTGCTATGTAAATACATCAAGTACAGAGGACAAAGCATCAATGGATGCTTACCGCCAAATTGTATATTATGTTCTGCTTCTTCTTGCTGACGTAAAAACTATTTATTGTTATTTTAAGAACAGATTCCAATCCAACAATGTATGCCATTGAAGAAAAACGTAAAGAGACAATATTAGTTAGAATTTCGTAAGCTTTGGCGACAAGTTTCACGCGACTCACGTGTCGTATTCAACGACGTTTTCTCAGACGAATGCTGAGATTCGTGTGAAACGAATCCCAACCGAAAACATCTTCGTTCGATACGAAGCTTGGATTCACGAAAGAAAAAGAGAGAAAAAGGCAGCAGCGTGTCTTTGTTGGAAGTAAGTGGACCGATAAAATCTCGACGGCTTCCTCACGATAATATCATTTCGAGATACTTTCACGGGGAATTCACCGCACACGGCACTCGCACGACGAGAGAAAAGAATACCAGTGACGACAAAATACGATCGAGTCGGTTGAACGGATCTCCCAGGACCTTTCGAATGAATTTCTCGCCGCGTTTTTCATTCGCTTGCTACGTCGCGAAACTCTTCGGCTCGATCCGGATGAAAAGCTTTCAGAGATAGAAATCTGATGGACGGGAGTGCCCGTTCCTTCTTACGAAAGTGAAAGTTCAGCTTTTTACGATTAGATCGATTACGTTTAGATTTTGCATCATTACCTTAATTACGTATATACTTCTTTCATTATCCTTAATTAGGCTCAAATCTTTTTAAGATTAGTTTGTTTAGATCCTGTCTGGATTTCCTTTTGTAACTAAACAAAGTGTAACATTTTTTTTATTTCGACTTAATTATACCCATATGTCTTCTACAATTAACATGGTTGCGACTGGATTGCAGGACTTATTAGGAAAATGACGATTATTTGTGTAGTTGGTAGGAAAAATAAGTTTTTAACTGTTACACAGTTTTAGTTATTGATAGTCGCAATTACTAAAAACTAAAACAGCGTAATATTATTACCATTTTATTTTCTAAAAATTAGTGTTTAAAACTTGATGCTTAAAAAATATAACAAAAACTGCATTATAATATATTAGTGACGTTAAAGTGGATTTTTGAAAGCTTCTTTGCTACGAGAACGTTAAACATTTAGAAGAAGACGAATTTGAAATTTAACTTTTAAAAGCATGGCGTAGCAACTTCGTCGTTTTCAGACTTTGAGCAGACTTGATCCAGCCTTAAGTATTGACTTAAATCATCTTAACTTCCCCAGTTTACGTTTTATTCCAATTATGCTGAAGATTTTTCGAAAACTTCTATGTTTAAAGTAACCTAGCAAGTAAATAATTTCAAAATTATTAAAGTGAACATTTCATATTGTTAGGAATTCTTTCAAAATATTATTTGACCCTACTCTGGAAAATAAACTTAATGCTTATAAACGGAAATGTATTTTAATTTTACTACAAAGTGAGTATGTAAGCCCATTGTTAGTTTAATAATAACTAGCTCGATTTTCTCTAGTAAACGTAGTCACAAAGTGCATGAACAAATATCTTTCAGCAACAGATTATTATTACGAGGTTGACATACACCGCGTGAACCAAAATTTCCGGCTTCTCTCTCGGTTCTTACGACGACGCGTGAACAGTGAGCTTAACGTGCAGTTCAAACATCCGTAGATATTTGGACTACATGAGCTTATCTGAAATCTTTATGCAGTGAGCGAATGTTTGAAAACTTATCGGGATATATTTTCCTTAGAAGATCTTCTACGTGCAGTATATGACATGTTACGAATTAAAAAAAAGTATCGATTAGATTACGATTCTGTTATTAAAACTGAAGATAATGAACGATAATAAGTAAGTAATAAATAAACGAAAAGGAAGATGAGAAGAGAGTAACGTACAAAATCATGATGCGCTATGAGGAACGCATGCGAGTAAGTAGAATAGGGATGTGAATGGTCGGACATAAGCGTTTAAGGCACATTCCAATGACACCGACACGAAACAAAAGGAGTACATCAGTTCCGCGTAAACACGGGTTGTTTCTCGAATCGCAACGTGTAACCTGCAAAGCAGTTTATTGTCTGCCACGATGAGAATGTAATCGTTAATTACATTGTAATGTAATTATGCGTTCTAATCACGACTGCCATAGGTACCCGACTCTGATAGAGTTGATCAACGAGCAGGTCGGATGAATCATTTCACTACAAGGAGTCGGGATTCCGTATCTTTGGCGTCCAAGTATCGAGTGTAGTTTTAAGAAAAAATGTTAAAGCACATGTGCTGTATAAACGAATGTGACAAAATGAATTACATATTGCATTCAATGTGCTTTTAACGTACTTTTAATGTAAAACATCTTTCTATATCGGTTAGGTTTAGAGTGTGTCTAATTTAATATCATATTACAATCATGTTCTCAAAACAAAGCTGATCCTAACATTCGATCTAACCGAAATTTAACAATAAACTTCAAGATACTTTTTCAGGCGTTTTGTATTTTTAAAATATCAAGATATTTTATGTACTTTAATTTAGTTCTATGAAATTATTAACGTTCTTCCAACATTACATTTAGTATGCATCAATCTACGACATTACCAATTTACTTTATATTTCCCAAAAGTGTTACAAAATACATAATAAAAGTCACAATTTCGAAAAGTCTGTTATTTAAATCACTGCGTGATTTCCATAAATGAATTGTCATTTTAATCATTCTTCTTGTTTTCCAACGGGGGAAAATATTCGAGAAAACAAATTGCCTCGGAGGCACAAAACTTACTCCAAACTCACGAAGAAATTAAGGAACTTACTATTCGCGTAATAGAATATTAACAATCTAAGTTAAAACTTTCATTCCTTAAAATTTCGTTCCAAATTCTATGAAACTTCAGCGCATTCGCTTAATAATGTAAGTAGTGGATGTTCTCATTATTTGTCTTGAACTCGTTAATATCTTACTACGAAAGATTGTATCGGAATAAAGTTGGGATAATAAAATTTCGGGTTAACATAAAAATAATCGAGTTTGGGCACTTCGAAGTCAAATAGAATCACGAAAGATGACAAAACTTTGTTATCATGTTTAATTATTTAAATCGATAGCTACGACATCTATGTTATAATCGAACAAATAATCATGTAACAATGATAGCTCGGTAACTAGCACATTTTGATATTCTAATTAATTCGACGGCAAGCAATCATCGAGCTTGAAATCCGAAACTCGGTTCGAAGTGATTCGCGATCGATTTAATTATCGAGAATCTATAAAAAGCAGGAACGATCTTGTTTGAGGCAGAAAGAATGAAATTGCGGCGGGCTGCGTAAAAATCAACGAGCTGGGTTCCCCAGGTGGTATCGGGAGGAAGCGCAGCTATTTGCTTTCGAATCCGTCGAATTAATCACCCTAGAATATCAGTCTTGTCGCGCTCGATTGCCGAGCCGGTCTAACATGATCGAAACTCGCGATATTCCCGGTTTAGACTTCTACGGTTCGATAGCTTCTCTGGTGAAAATCGTTACGGTTGCAGTTCGCTGAAATACAGTTATTCATGAAAGTACCTGGCAGAAAGTTTTTATATGCTTTTTATTTTATTGCGTTGTTACAATTTTTTTCAGGGATTGCTCGGATGTAAATTTTCGATTTAAATTCGCAATAGAAATGGTAGAGCTTGCAAAACCAACTATAGAAAATTGCTATTCCCTTTGTAAAATTGCAAAATGCGAAAAAAATTTTGTAGAGAATTACTTAGATATGCCAGGAAAATTTTTACATTGAAATTCGCATGTTTGCATTAACTGAAATTTACGTTGGGAAGACAGGGCTGATGCACCGAGTATTAATCAAAGAATCAATTAGCATTAATATGGAATTATCCGAATGTCTTTTAAATACTCTGCATATATATAATTAAAAATATTTGATACAAAAATGAGCAAAATTTAGGAAAGGAAATGACAAAATAGTAAAAGTTATTATTTTATTTATAATTAATAGCCAACGGTACTAAAATTAGTTTATCTTGGACTATATATGTATGTATATATATATATATATATATATATATATATATTTCAGAAGTTTTCAAATTTTGCCAATACTTTACCTTATTTCCACGTAATATTTCGCACTTGGGTTTCAAACTATTTTCCAAATATCCTCGTAAATACTCATTGGAATCTCTAATTATCACTTTGCGACGTTCATCGTGCAACACCCACTTATCATTTACTTTTCCAATGAAATCGACGAAAAATGAAATAAAAATATATATCATTCCCATTCATCTCGATATATTACATTCCTTCACTTTGACTGGTCGAATCCCCGCACTATAATTTCACTGCACCTGTTCTCATTGGCAAAATATCACTGTGGTATCCTAGTCGCACGTTAATTAAAGTCTTTAACACGAATTCAATTCCAATTAACGTTTGATATCGGTCACGGTCGTTTGAAAGATCAGAGATACGATTTCCAACGTCGGGCACATACTCAGAAGCTGAAATTATTCGCAGATATCAGCTCTTTCGCCAAACACTTGCACGATTAACAGGTTTCACGAGTAACAGATGGAACAGGAAGAATCTGTTGATATTAAACTTCGTGATTCGAGATTCACCATTCATGAACACGAGAATTCGCAAACGACTGCTCGTTGCTTTGTCATGAAATGGTAACGCAGTATTTAATGTACATGACTATAAGAATCTAATTGCAAGAAAGTTTACAAAGATGATTATAATTAGAAGACGATTGTACTTTTACACTTTCATGAGAAATTAACATACATACAATATCTTGCGAAAAATGAAACGAATAAAGTTTCCACGCATTAATTTCTTTAATTTCTCTACCGAAAGTCGACTTCTAACATTTGTTTATGATATTCATCGAATATATGTTCGTAATATTAAAAAATAATTCTTTTACTTTTATTCCAAGATGAAGTTTCTTCATTCCACCTAAAATTCTTTCAAACCCGAGCTGTCTTTCGGTCACGGAAACCAGAGATCCTCAAACCAACATTCCCTTCCTATAAACGAAAAGAGCCAGCTAGAAAGGAAGAACAAATGAAGAAAGAAATCAGATAGGAAACGTCTAGAAAGATAACAAGAGGTCGCTATTTATCCAGACATTGCTAGAGGCTCATTGTCACGTACGTTTTATTTACGACGTGGCTGAACCGTTGCCAATCAATCCATCGACTCCACGTGCTTCTGGCGAACACGACACTAGCTTCTAGTCAACGATCGATATCGAGCGGATATCAAGCCCGATATCGAGCCTCGGGGCGATCGTCTCGTGAAAATCTCCGTGGCACCGGTGTAAAAAGTCTGAGAAGTCTCCCAGAGAAAGAATTACGATCGACTGGCGACTATCGACTATCGTGTGTGCGTTCGATGGAAAGAATGGAGGTTTGCTCCTCTCGAGGAAAAGAGTGCGAACGCGACGCTTCTACGGAGCTGCTGAGGAAACAGGCGCGACATGAGGCTTCGGGAAAAAAACGAAACGTCACGCGAAGCAACTGGTTGCAAAGGCGAAGAAACCGAGAAGAACCGGCGCGAAGAGAGCTCCGCGAAATATTCGCCGTGGAGAATCGTTTTTTGGAGATTGTGTCTCGCGAAACTCTTTTCGCGATTGCTCCGGGGTCCCGCTGAAGGGATGATCGTGTATTTGCAAAGTTTCCGAGGTTCGGGTGGGAAAACTGAGTTGGTGTTGCGTTCCATTTGGGAATTCAGTGAGCCACGATTTCTATGTTATTGTGTAGTACATATTACTATTAGATTATCTCATAAGTAGATTGTCGTGTTCGTGGGATAGACGTGGGATATTTTTTGGATAGACGACTAGAGAAAATACAAATCTTAAATACAAATCTGTTTCACTTATTGAATGTTACAAGGAGGACTATGTCTTGACATATATTTTTACATATTATATTTGTGCATATCTTTAAACCCATAAATGCATAAATATCCGCAACCCACTTATGTATTATAATATGGTTTCTTAAAAATATATTAGTTTATTCAGAAAATTCGTAGCGATAACTGAGAAAGATTTAAAGCCGATATATTGTCACACAATTGGCATTTTATTGAACAGCATATGCGCCACTCCTCTTAATATCTTTTTGCTATCAATGAATTTCAGAACTTCTTTTTTAATTTTCTGTCCTTTCCGATAACGAATTCCTTCTGGTGGCTGTTACAGGTTTTTAAAGAATGAATGTTTTTAAAGTTATACTGAAATTCGTCGGTCATCCAAATACTCACAATTTCAGTACCTACAAAAGAATATATAGCATACTATTTGAAAAAATGAAGGTAAAATATCGTACCCTTCCAAATAAAAAAAAATAATAATAACAGAGTTCTGTATGACATATCAGGTTGTCCTAAAAGTTCCTTTCGTTTTATAAGGAAGTAATAGATGCACAACATTTTTTGTTTTATATTATTTTATTGAATTACGTTTGATCAATTTTATTCTATTACTATAAAATGAATCATACATAAATCCGTAAAATAATATAAAATAAAAAATGTTGTGCATCTATTATTTCACTTATGAAACGAAAGAAACTTTTGGGACAACCTAATACAAATTTCGTGAATAAAGATTCCTCATATCTTTAAAAATTGCGAGAAATATTCAAAGGGATAAAAATTATTATGTTACTTAGTATATCGTTCCATCATTCTTGCAATATTGTGCTTCATAACCTGATTAATATCCTTGTACGTGAATTTCAATAATCGAATTGAAAGTTTAAATATTACGATCAATTAATTTCTGTCGTCCGCGTGTGTATGTTAAATCCGCAGTTATCAGTTATTTGTAAACGTTACATGTTTTAAAAATAAGCAAATGAAAGTGATTCATTTGGTTCCACATGTGATTAAAACGATGGATTTTAATGTCTCGCCCTTATAAAATATTGAAATATATACCGTGTATTAACAATCATTCTAATGCTCCATAATTTTATAAATTTGGTTTTTCTTGCTTGATAAAATAAGAACAGAATAGTTAGTCCAGTTTATTTTGGACTAGTTTACTTCACTCACTACTAGCATTATTCTGATATCTTAGTTTACTTAAAAACGCCATGCAACACGAGACGTCGAAGGAATATGTATTTGAACATGTACGTCGATCTATGACCCGCGGCTGCCACTCGTATCAAAATGGAAATAGGAGACATCAAACATATCTCTCAAATCTAAAAACAAACTCACATGTATAACATCGACATTTCGTCATAAAGTATTTTCCATTCCTTTTGGCAAGCACCTACTATTATAAACATGAAAAAAGTTCTTAGATCCCTTTTCTTTCTCACTTCGTGTAATTCCTTGGTCTTTACTCGAAAAACGTATAAAGACTCAAAAATGCGAAGTGTCGTCTCTTTTATAAAATCAACGAAAGATGATCAGAAATATTCAGGGAGCTTAACATGAATTCTCAACACGTGAGATCAAGACAGAAAATAGAAGGAAAGAAGAGAAAGACGAAGCGGAAGAATCTACTTCAATTTTCAAAATTACGTTCTTCCGCTTATCTCGCGTCGACGAAGCCGCGCCAACGAAAGATCGCGTTTCTCAACTAGTCTCACCTCTATTTCGCAAGACTCCCGTGAACGAGATCACGCGAGGACGCGGCGTGAACTTGTTAACGGAAGTAAACGAGCCATCCTGACGACGCGACGGGGCG